CATCTGCCAATGCAGAAGACATAAGAGACTTGGACTCAATCCACAGGTCAGAAATAACCCCTGGATGAGGGCATGGCAACCCACTCCAGTATCACTGAAAAAAGTGATAACCTCAGATCAGCTAACTATTAACTAAGGGCAACGTGTGAAAGCCAGAAGACATATAGCAGCCAATAAAGAGAATCTAATCCTCTAATGTCAGGTCAACATGTGCTAGAAAGAGGCACAGAATTTGCTTTCAAAAGTGACATAATTATAAGGGAGGTCACATTCACAGACATGGCAGGATTCTATGCAAGAGTGAGGACACTGATAGGCACAGGATGGGACCCTAAGAGGAGAATGGGGACATCCAGTGAATAGGACTGAGAACACTGAACTTCCAGGTTCCCCTATGCCCTCTTAATAGGCAGAAGTAATCTCTTCCCCTTAGAGGGTAGTAGTTTTTCCATGCTAGAGACCATACATGATGAAGCCTGCTATCCTCGAGATCTGAGCTCATCTTCCTTACGGTTCTAGGCAACAAATAGACTAGGTCTCAATATGGCTTACCTGGAAAAATAGTCTCTCCTCCAGGGTAACAGAAGAAGAGAATATGCAACAAAAGAGATGCAATATTTGTTTAATATGAATCAGCAGACAGTGGCAGAACATGCCAGGGAATGGATGTTGATGGATTTTGAGGCAAAAACCACCTGGGCATTAACTTGGTGTGAAGGAATAAGCAGACTGAGATAAGAAAACACGTGAACTCTTGCACAGTGGCAAATGGCTTGGCTGGTTGGCCAATGCCCTTGAAGAAACAAGACAGGAAGACCTTCCCTAGACAAAGAGTTCTGGAGAAGAAGCATAAGGATGGATCTACAGGAGCAGGCATCAGACATGCAGACGTCTGTTTGAAATCAATCACCACTGGACAACATCCATCACAGAGGAGGTACTAAATAATGGGGTGGATGGGAGAATTTGTCCACTGGAAGTCATCTAGGCTTTGTGTGTAGGAACCACAAATAAATGCAATAACCAGGTAGAGAGAGGGACCTAAAAATATAGGCTCTTTCTCACCTAGCATGTATACCTATTGCCACTGGTGAATGGCCAACCCACTGGAAGTTATCCAATGCTGAGAATTCAATACAGTATCACTCTTCAAAAAGACATTTAATAATGACTTGATATCACATAGGTTATAACCAGTCTTCATTTATCCTTCTGGAATGGGGTAAGGTCAATTTTGTTTTACTTGTTATTGATACAGTTTTCAGTTAAGCGTTCCTCTTCCTGTTTACACTTCCTCATCCACTAAAATAATCCTCTGAACCGTCTGATTTACCATGAAGGGTTATCATTATAGAATGTTGCCTAACCTCGCCTCAAATCAAGCAATCTATTTTATGGTAAAGGAAGTCCAACAACAAACAAATGACCAGAGAATCCACTGGGTCTATGATATAATGCATCACTTGGGAATTGCCAGTCTGAAAAAAGAAAAACATTGGGATAGTATCTTATATGTGAAAGCTCCAACTTGGAGATTACAGTCTTTGAATTAAAATGCTGTCCATCAAGATGCAGTTTATATTTTGAACCATGGCATGAAGTCCACTGATGTCCTTGCACAAGACTGTATCCACTCATAAAAAACAATGGTTTCCTTGTCAGGAACTTTTAAATGGTAAAAGGATCAATTCAACAAGAGAATATAGCACTTGTAAATAACTATGTACACAATATAGGAACACCTAAATACATAAAGCAAATATCAACAGACACAAAAGGAAAGATGACTGTAATACAGTAATAGTAGGGGACTTTAAGATCCTGCTTTCATTAATGGCTAGATCATCCATATAGAAAAAATCAATGAGGAAACACTTGACTTGAATGACATGTTAAATGCCATCTTTAAGGATTATTAACTGGATACAGTGGATTCTGGACAGGTTTCTAGCTACCATCACCTGCAACTTTCTGTTTCAGTTCTCTCTTTTATGACCGGAGTCTATTATCTCCACACATATGGAATGCTGGTACACATTTAAAACCCCAGTTCACTTGACCTTGAGGCAGAATAGCAGTTCATATACTACAAAGCTTCTAGAATTCCTCAGTAGGATTGAGTTCCTTTAAATTAAATTTCTTTAATTGGTTTCCTTCCTTCCTTGTCTCACTTCCTTTAATTGGTTGTGTTTCTTGGGATCATGTCACAAAAGAATCCATTTACACTGGAATCCATGAGTAAGAATCAGGAAGAAGCCATATTAAGACATTAATCATATTTAATGTTAGCTGGTTTTATAAAAATTTCATTTGATATGCCAGATCTGTACTGAAATTAATGTTTTTACAATTTCCTCTTTTGCTATGCCAAACATAACATTTTGATAACAACCTTTCCAATGCAGTTGTAATAAATATGTTTATGTACAAATTAAACTAATTGATTACCTTCTCTAATCAATTTATTTCAGAGACTGACCATTACATTTTACTTGTACACATTTTGTTGAAAATGTTATGAGCTAACACCCGGAGTCAGGTTATAAAATTGGACTAACATTAATCAGAGCTCTTATGCAGTATCAAACTTTACTAGTAATATCAAGGATATAAACAAGCTAGGGTTTCCCTGGTCGCTCAGAAAGTAAAGAATCTGCCTACAATGCAGGAAACCTGGTTTCGATTCCTAGGTTGGGAAGGTTGTCTGGAGAAGGGAATCACTATACAATCCAGTATTCTTCCCTGGAGAATTCTATGCACAGAGGACCCAAGCAGGCTACACTCTATGGGGTCTCAAAGAGTTGGACATGACTGAATGAATAATACTTTCTTGGATAAGCTAAAGGACTGCTAAATGTTCAGATAAGACATAGAAAGAACTGGGCATGGAGGGCAATTCCTAGGTGTTACGAGCTGAACTGTCTCCCCCTCAAATTCCTATGTTGAAGTCCTAAACCCAACTATCTCCAAATGTAACAGTAAACATAGGTAATTTTTTTAATGAGGTGAGAGAAAACAACAAAATTCTGTAAAGCAATCATCCTTCAGTTAAAGAACAGATAAATTTTCAAAAAAGAGGGAGGGGACACAAGAAAAAAAAAATGAGACCATCAGGGTAAGAGCATGTGACACCAATATCACTGGTGTCCTTATAAGGAGAAGAGAAATCAGTCTGCACAGAGGGCTGACCAAAGCGAATGGCAGCAAGAGCGCAGCAGTTTGCAAGCCAAGAAAGGCCTCAGGAGAAACTGACCCTGCTGGCACCATGATCTTGGCCTTCCACCCTCCAGAACTGTGAGAGAAAAATTTCTTCAGTTTAAGGCACCCATTCTGTGTTATTCTGGTTAAATAGCCTTAGAAAACTAATAGACTAGATCCTCCCTTACTGTATTGAAGACACTCTTCTGGGGTCAGATGAAATAAGTCTCAAAAGAGGTTTCCAGGGTTCCTTGTATAGTGGGAGTATTTAAACCATGAAATATTTCCAGTTTATTACCCAGAGTGTTATATTACCTACTAGGTAATTTTAAAGCCATCTTGCCACACGGATCTTGAGTTCTATTTATGTTACCCTTGTGTGTGAAAGTCTCTCAGTTGTGCCCGACTCTTTGCGATCCCACAGACTATACAGTCCATGGAATTCCCCAGGCCAGTGGGTAGCCTTTCCCGTCTCCAGGGAATCTTCCCAATCTATGGATTGAACCCGGGTATCCCGCATTGCAGGCAGATTCTTTACCAGCTTAGTCACAAGGGAAGCCCTATGTTACCCTTAGGTAGGGATATTCTGCTAAAAGCATTTTCAAAGTAACTTGTCTTCCCCTTAGTAAACAATTTATCTAGCTACTTGAGGCTCTGGTTGACGAGATTAACTCAGTTCCTCTGACTACATTTTTCTTCCAGTGGGTGCCCTTCCAGTGAAGGGAGTAAACTGACTGTAAGTCACCTGTTTTAACTTCCTCCCACATGGTTTCAGAGGCAGAGCCGTTCTCTTATGTTCAATACAAAATGCTGCTGCTGCTAAGTCGCTTCAGTCGTGTCCGACTCTGTGCAACCCCATAGACGGCAGCCCACCAGGCTCCCCCGTCCCTGGGATTCTCCAGACAAGAACAATGGAGTGGGTTGCCATTTCCTCCTCCAATGCATGAAAGTGAAAAGTGAAAGTGAAGTCGCCCAGTTGTGTCCGACTCTTAGCAACCCCATGAACTGCAGTCTACTAGGCTCCTCCATCCATGGGATTTTCCAGGCAAGAGTACTGGAGTGGATTGCCATTTCTTTCTCCAAATACAAAATGAGTTCACCACAATTACTTCTTTCACTTTCATCTCTATAAATATAACCACTTCAAACATGAAATTAAATCAACCAGTGCACAGTCATGAAATTTTCTGCCAAAACACAAATTTAATTCATAAATTAAAATGACATATAGTAACATTCATTCTGTCCTGCTTTATTTGCTTCAGAATTCAAAGCTTTTTACTTATGAGAGGAAGGTCTAAAATGGTTCCTGGAAATAAGACTTTTAAGAAAGCACATTCAAATATCTATTAGTTCTTATGTTAATAATAAATAAACTTTAAAAACATACATTATGGACATATGTCCAGTGTGAAAGTTGAGAATTATAATGAACAGAAAAGAGTCATACAATTATACTGCAAAGTCAATATTCATTTGGAGTTACAATGACATCAATGAGTACAGGGGTGCGTGTCAGCTTTTTAAGCTCTTCTGAGTCAAAGAGAATATGTATATAATGTTTTCCCTTCATATTCATTGCTTTAATCATTTCTCTCATGGGTACAAACACCGAGAAAGAACCTTGGTGTGGAAGTATAGGAGAATAAGTAACAAGAGAGAACAGCTTAGTAAGACAGTCTTGTAATAGGACCAGAAATATCTCACCCTATCTATGACAAAACACAATCAGACACTTAAAATCAGAGAGAGATAAAAATTGCAGATTTAACTCAACAAAAATGCAATCATCATATACTTACTGAAGCTACATTCACAAAATCGTCATCCGAGAGGGTTTCCAACATTTCAGAGACAGATGTTCGGATCAGTTTAAGTGTCAATCCACTAACACTCCCACTCCTATTTTAAAACAAAAAACGGACCCACACATTTTAATGACTATGCATTTAGTCAACATAAGACACCCTAAGGAAATGCAACTTATGCACTGACACTATATAATATGAACATAATTTTGTCTTTAAAATATCAGTATTAGAAAAAGTCCTATTTTTGATAGCAAACAGAAATAAATTACAAGAAATTTTGTCTTTCTTTGCTATAAGCATCAGAATGTATTTATCTCTAATTACAATGATGAAAATTATATTTCAAGTGATAATTTAAAGAAACTACAGATACTCATGGCGTATTCACTTTTTCTAGAAATATATACTGAATATCAGCTCTATTAGCCAAGTTAGAAGTGAGGGCTACAGAGGTTAATATAATGCAGTCATTGCCCCTCACTATCTGACTTGATTAAATAATTATCAAGTAGCAGCATAAGAACTTGATAATAGACTTGTAAACACAATGCCTTGTTTTATTCCTGAAGTATTCTCAGGGATTTAGTCATCACTTATCTTGTCTTTACATATTTTATGATTCTGGATGACCTCATCTATTTGTGTGGCTCATCTCCAGGCAATTTGTTGCTGTTGTTCATTTACTAAGTCATGTCCAACTCTTTGTGACCCCATGGATTATAGCATGCCAGGCTTCCCTATCTTTCACTATCTACCTGGAGTTTCCTCAAATTCATGTCACTTGAATTAGTGATGCTATCTAACCATCTCATCCTCTGTGCCCTCTTCTTTTGCCTTCAATCTTTCCTAGCAACTGGGCAATTAACTTTCACTTTTGTATCTTTTGTATTCACTTTTGTAGCTCCTAACTTTTCCCCTGTTTTATTTTTCTAGCTGTTTATTAAATGACTATGGGTTCAATGTCCAAAATGACACATTAGTCCCAAAACTTATTTTTCTTTCCTACATATATCCTTGATACCAACCACACTAGATCTTAGTCATTCAATTTCATTCTCCCTCTCAACTTTCCTTCCCATTCAGACAATCTCTCTTATTCATTCTACTTTACAGTATTCTCTCCATCCTCTTTCCATTCTAGCTTATGTGTTTACCATCTCAAGATCCACAGCCAGAACAACAACCATTCATCACTTAGTTCCTTCTCTGCCCCATGCTAACAGGTGAAAATTCTGGCAGCATATCTTCGTCCACTTCTGTTACCTATAAAATGTTGCTTTTTAGTCACTAAGTGGTATCCAGCAACTCTGCAACCCCATGGACTATAGCCCGTCAGGATCTCTGTCCATGGGATTTCCCAGGCAAGAATACTGGAGTGGCTTGCTGTTTCCTTCTCCAGCGATTCTTCCCAAGCCAGGAAGTGAACCTGTGTCTCCTGATATCAGGCAGATTCTTTACCACTGAGCCACCAGGGAAGCCCTACCTACAAAATAGTTAAAACTACAAAATATCCAAGAATCTTAAAAGCCTTGCATTCAGAAAGTGTCATTATTTTCTCTCTCTCCTACCTCCACCTTCTATATAGTCCCTCCAGATGTTCTCAACAATGCCACTTTGCTTCTAGCAATTCTCCCACCTGAAAGTCCACTCTCTTTTCTCTCCCTTCCATGCCTGCCTTGTTAAATCTTAGCTATACAGATTCAATTCTAATTTTCTCTCCTTAATGAAGTCTTTCCTGACATTCACATTGAAATGTGCTTTCTTGCCAGTGTATTCCTTCAGTGCTGTGTCATACATCTCGCACTTTCTATAATTGTTTTAAGTTATTTGTGAATATGGTTTCATTTCACTAATACATTTGAATCATCTTTGAGAGGAGGAACCGTGTCTTAATAATCTTGGTCTCTATATCATCACATTGTATATAAGATACTCTCAGTTTAGTTCTGTTGAAATAATTTTTTAAAATGTCATTACAACCTCATGCACATTTATTTTTAACTTTATTATACCTTATGCATTCTAAATATTTTAATATAAGAAATTATGTCTGGACATTAGCATATAGCCAATAGGATTACAACATATTGCATTCCCATTTAGATTTATATTTCAGAAGACTATCAAGGATTAGCAAATGTACAAAATCTACAATAATTTAACTTAAAAAGATGAAGTTTAAATTCATTTTAACAAATGAAATGAGATTTAATATTTAAGTTATATTTGTTGGCTTCATTTATCTTCTCTTTCTCAGGCAAGATTATAAGATTTTAAACTTGTTTACTTCAGGTTATAATGGAGAAATTTTCAAATGCTGACAAGATCCTGTGAAATGAATTTAGCTGCCTATAAAACATGGAATTTTGTTACTTCCAGTGGCAAAGAACAGATGAAAGGGAAAGTGTCAGCTGCGCAGTCGCGTCCGAATCTTTGTGACTGCCTGGACTGTAGCCGCCAGGCTCCTCTGTCCACGGAATTCTCCAGGCAGGAATACTGGAGTGGGTTGCCATTCCCTTCTCCAGGGGGTCTTCCTGACGCAGGGATTGAACTCAAGTCTCCTGCACTGCAGGCAAATTCTTTCTGTACCACCAGGGATGTAAAGAACAGATGAGGATATAATCTTTTTCTCTCAGGAAAAAAAATACAAGCTTTTATACCTCTTGTTTTTAATTCTTTAGTATTGCTCTTAAAAACTGAATCTTCACAGTAGGATATAGTCTTCTCTATGTTCTACAGTTTCAAATTTCAATTTTAATCTTATTGGAAGATTATACACACATACCTAAATTGAAACAATGTGACAAATAAATAACCAATATAAAAACTAATAAATTTTTTCTTGTATTTCAGCATTTCCCTTGAGAAACTTCAGTATGGACCTGTAATATATCTAGTAGTAATCTATTTTGTGACCAATCCCTAAGATATTTGGATCAATAGTGACTAAGTGCCATCTAAACAATTCTACATTTTTGGTAGCAGAAACTGATTGGTTTTAGCAACCATGTACTTTAATACTGTTTAACAAGCAAAAAACTGGAAGCAAATTAGTAATTTTTCAAAAAGCTTAGACTTCAGAAACAAGTCATAATTTTCAATTCTGACAAAGATTCCTCTCATTTCAACTGTCTTAATTTGATTTCTTTGTCTGGATATAGACAAAGTCATGATAATTATTCTTTGTTTTTTTTCCTCCCCACCTATTTCTAGTCTCAAACTATTACTGATACTGAAAACCCTCCCTATGTTCTCAGTATATAAAAAATAATGTAATGTTTAACTACTTACACATCAACCAGAATAAGCATGTCTTTGGGAGATGCAGCTCCTTGGATGTACCTGAAACAAATACACTCATATGAGTATTTTTTTTTCTCTTGTATAATCTCAAACACTGATATCTGTTGAATTGCTATTTACTGATCTCTGAGATATTTTCCAAGCATGGCCCTATGTCCTTCCTAGCTGGGTAGGTAATACTATTTAATTCATGATTATGCAACATCAACTTAAAAATACAATATTTAACATAATAGAGATATCAGAGGTATAATATTTAAAGTATGTTTTACAGGTATTTATAACAAAGGGATAAGAGATGTGCTTTAATACTAGGAGTACAAGAAATTAACTTCTGGAAGAGTATTTCCCTAAGGGGGGAGCAAAGTTATCCTAAATTCCATTTTGCTGACCACAGTTTTCAAAACTCATTCTAAGGAATAATAATAAAAATGAATAATAAGATTATGTCATTAATTTAAATACACACACACAAAATTCCCACAGAAATAAATTAGTAGTCTAGGAATGTGAAAAAGCAGTATCAATATAAGGGAAATAGAAAGGGACAATAAAGTAATTAGAAACAGAGCAATATATATTGTTATTTCCAAGAGTTTCAAGTAGTGGTTTTCAAACTTTACCTAAAAGTCACCTGGAGAGTCAGTTCAAAATGTTGATTGTCATGCTAAACCCCAGTCCTAAAGATTCAGAATCTCTGTGTAGGAAAAGAGACTCTAAGAGAATAGCCTCGTCACTGTAGACATAGTTAACTGAAGGTGAATAATCCCCAAAGCTCATGGTGCCTGGCTGTGGACTGATGGGAACTAGGGGCCTGCCTTCCCTAATAAAAAGACCTGGGTCTGAACTCAGGGTTCTACTTATTGTCCACCACTCTAAATCTAACGTCTCAGAAGCTTGCCAGATAGCTTGCCAATTAGCTTTCAGACAACATTCAGCACAGTTAGTAACTATTCAGGATGATATGGTCATGGAACAGAATTTTTAGCTTGCATTCAAGTTTGCTTCTCTATCAGAAGGCAGAATGGCAGGGTTGCTGGGTTATTTCAATGAAAGGCAAATCTAGTTCATGTCTAGCGTTTTGACAAATGGTCCTGGCATGTGTCTCCATGGGAAAATGAGAGGACAGAATTTCATCTGTCTCCTTTGGTTGGGACATAATTTCTAATTTTCTGCCAAAACAACTGGTTCCTGAACCTAAATCACATGATGGCAGAGGGTTTGCCTCCATTCAGCAACCTATGGCTCCAGAGCCACTAACTTGGAGAAATATTAACAAGAATAATATGTGGATTAATAGCATCTGGTAATATTATACATAGTTGGTATTAATGTAAGTTGCTACTAGGACATTTAACAGAGCATTTAAAAAGCTTTAAATATATTTCTTTGAATTAACCATTATATGTCTTAGAATTTGTCTGAATCCTAACAAAAAGTGAGAAATAACCTATATGTCCATTAATAGAGGATTTTTAAAATAACTTACCATTTAGTCATTCTTTTAAAATGATGTTAAGTGTGTTTCTTATGAAAAGGTACTCAAAGGTACTGATATGAGATAGTAGCTTACAAAGCAGTATACTGTATAATAAATAACATGCATACTCTAAAAAATATATAGCCACACATTACATACATTAAAAAAATCAATTAAATACATAAGTTTAACAATTATTTACCAATGAGGGTAATTATGACTTTTTTGGTATTCTTCTACTTATATATTAGGATAATGAGTTTCTTTAGAAGGAACAATTAAACTTTCTTTTTGGAAAAATGAAACCTAAGCAATATGTCTATAACTAGGGGTAGCTCTTTCCTTGGGGCTAGTTCTCATTAATTCACTGCCAGAGGCAAACTACCTTCTACTCTATCTGGACACTTTGTTAGAGTCCTACTATAAGTAAGTGGGAATATTTCAATAGAAATCCCTAAAAGCTAAAAGAGATTTAGAGATGACATTAACTAAAAACTTAAAGGAGTCCACTTCAAATGTATTTGATGAATCAGTTCAACAATATTCATGATCAGTGCCCACTGAACTCATCATTTTCATTTAACTTTAAGTATTTTTAAAAGTAGAAGTGTATAGAAAATGCAAATGTATAGAAGAAAAAAAACATTAGATCTCTATAATAATCAGACAGTATTAACACTAATAATAGAACGAGTCCCTCCAACTTTTACACCAAAAAAAAAGAAAAAGAAATAAAATCTATTTTGTCCTTTTCATCTTTTCAATATTACCCAAACATTCTTACCATGGTCTCCTGCGTACATCATAAAGGTCAATCTTGTTTGGAGTTCTACTGTTATCAACCCATGGAGAAGCTTTAAAAAAAGAGAGACAGAAAGAATTAGAAAGAACCAGAGAAGTTAAATTTAAAATAGAGAATTAAAACCAAAATATGAGGTATTATCTAGGAAAGTAATATTTTTAAAAATTACAAAGCACTAAGGACACATTCCACTTATCCAGAGCAATGTTAAAATGGGAGATAGAGTTTTATGCCTTTAATCTTTTTCTTTTTTAAATGGAAAACAACATAGCAATACAGAAGAAAGTGGCTTAAGTCAATCTTTTTTTCATATTATTTCAGAAATAACCTGTAGGCATAGGGATGTTCAGAGTGCCCATGAGTATGTTTCACGAAGTATCCAGAAAATATACATTTTCTTTTCTCTCTACTAACAGAAAAATTTAACAGAAAATTTATTTGCCACTAAGGAAAACTGTATTTTAAATTATTTGATCCTTTTATTTTCATTCAATGTTATACTATCTTGGTCTATAAAAAGACTGTTTTTCTTGGATTGTTATCACATAATAGCATAATTTTTTAACCTTGTTGTTGTGTTGTTCAGTCACTACGTCATGTCCAACTCTTTGCGACCCTAGGAACTGCAGCATGCCAGGATTCCTGGTCCTTCACTATCTCCCAGAGTTTCTCAAACTCATGTCCATTGAGTCGATGATGCCATCTCATCCTCTGTTGCCCCCTTCTCCTGCCCTCAGTCTTTCCCAGCATCAGGGTCTTTTCCAAAGAGTCAGTTCTTCACATGTGATGGCAAAAGTACTGGAGCTTTAGCACCAGTCCTTCCAATGAATATTCAGGGATTATTTCCTTTAGGATTGACTGGTTTGATCTCCTTGCTGTCCAAGAGATTCTCAAGAATCTTTTCCAGTACCACAGTTCCAAAGTATCAGTTCTTCAGAGCTCATCTTTCATGGTCCAACTCTCTCATCCATACATAACTACTGGAAAAACTATAACTATGACTATACGGACTATATGGACTTTTGTCGGCAAAGTGATGTCTCTGCTTTTTAACACACTGTATAAGTCTGTCATAGCTTTCTTTCCAAGGATCAAGTGTCTTTTAATTTCATGCCTGAGGTCACTTTGAACAGTGATTTTTCAGCCCAAGAAAATAAAATCCGTCACTGCTTCCACCTTTCCCCCATCTATTTGCCATGAAGTGATGGAAGTGGGTGCCATGATCTTTGTTTTTTGAATGTTGAGTTTTAAGCCATCTTTTCCACTCTTCTTTTTCACCATCATCAAGAGGATCTTTAGTTCCTCTTCACTTTCTGCCATTACAGTGGCATATTTGATAATGGCTAGTTCATTTAAAATAATAACTTAAAAATTAAACTATAATTAACATAATTACACAGAAAAAAAACTTTCCTGATATTTATTTGAATGATGTGAAGTAATTCTAGTACAGATTCAAGAGTATTCTATTAACTAACAGAAGATGTTTCAGAGTCTTTATCATTTTGCAGTAAATAAAAAAGTATGTTTAACTGCTTTTAAAATGTAATTATTTTATACTATTCCAATTAACTCTAAACTCACTTTAATTAAAATACTTTACAAAGCTTTACACATACACATACACCCCTTTGACTCAATGGAGAACAAAAAGTGCTTATGAATTGGATGATAATTTTATGCCAAAGTCCTCCTCTCCTTGAACACACTTAGACATGTAACTCTTGGGAAAATTCCCAATAATAATTCATAGGATGTACGTCTCTCAATGTATTTTGCCCTTTATTGTGAAATGATGAAAATTATGTAGAACTTTTCTGAGAATCATGTTTATTAGCTGACTAAGATAATTTGGCCAATTAGGATTTGTCAAAAATATATATTAGCGAGCTCTCCTTGACTGTGAAATTGCTTTCTTATTAGTACCTACATAAGAAAATGATTTATTTATTCATTTAAAATAACTAATCACATTTATAAGAAACAGCTAAGTTTAAATATAGCACTCTTCCAACAATATGTACTGATACAGTATGCAACTGAAATGGCAAATTTACTTTAATTATTTTCATTTACATCTGCAGAAACTTAAGAGTTAGTGAGATAAACTATGACTTTTTTTTTCCTTTCTTTCTTTTTGTGGTAGCTCTAGAATTCAGCAACAAGCACTAGGCAGACATTTCAGTTCACATTCAACTATTACATAATTCTTCAAGTCTGGGTCTTTGTAGTAACTACAAATTTATCACATTCTTCTTTCAGTAAAATCCTGGGCTGGTTGTACATTTATTCCCTCTTAACTCCAAATTCACTCTTTTATCTTGTTTTATGAAAATGTCTCTTGGTCCCTTAAATATTTTTCTTTTACCTAACAAGGACAATCTAAGCTTTCTCAGTAGAAAAAAGAGATTGTGAGATAAGGGTTTCTACATCCTAGTCTGGTTTGTTTGCTCCAAGGCTCTGGCAGTAAAGTGCAGCTTTCCTGGTGTGGCTCTGGCAATACATATTCTCCAGAGCTCATGCGTAGCTTCTCCAGAACGAGGCTTATGGAGCGCTGTCTGGTTCTCCAGCAGTACTCTCGGGTATTTTTTGTGGAGAGCCTCTGATGAGACACATGCAACTCAGAGGGTGAACTTGCAGCAAACTCTGTGACACTGCAGTACCTTCTCTGTCATTTGATGGGCCAGAACCATGTCCTCTGTAAACGGATCTGCATCTCAATCCAGGGGCACGACGGGACCAAAGTCTCTTCCTTGGCTACCTATTTCTGCCCTACAGGGGTTAGTTATACAATGCTGTATCTGGAATTCCTGTATTATTTAGACTTATCCCTACTTCTAGCCAATTCCTCTTTAATCCCTGCCAAAGTTAATAATTCTTTATTAAAAATTAACTAGCCCTGTTTAAAATGTTGTATTATCTCTTTTCTGATTCAGACTGATACAAATATTTTGGTGAGAGGAGAAGTGGGATTGGTTACCACTGACAATAAAAGTGATCACCATTAGTTGAAAGTGATCAACCAGTGTATTTGAAAATGGTTAAAAAAAAAATAGGAATTTGAAAGTCACATTTAAATTAGATTTCTGCCATAGCTGTACATATGTCCCCTATGGCTGATTTATGTTGATGTGTGATAGAAAACAACAAAATTCTGTAAATCAATTATCCTTAAATTAAAAACTAAATTAATTTAAAAAATTAGATTTCTGAATTCTTTACAGAGCACATTCACCTAGGATTTCTGGTTTTGGTATAACTGCCTATTGAAATGAACTGTGATATTTATTCAGAGAGAGCAATGGCACCCCACTCCAGTACTCTTGCCTGGAAAATCCCATGGACGGAGGAGCCTGGTAGGCTGCAGTCCATAGGGTCGTGAAGAGTCAGATATGACTGAGCGACTTCACTTTCACTTTTCACTTTTATGCATTGGAGAAGGAAATGGTAACCCACTCCAGTGTTCTTGCCTGGAGAATCCCAGGGATGGCGCACAGAGTTGGACACGACTGAAGTGACTTAGCAGTGATATTTATTAAAATGTTCCATATAATTCATTTCTTTAAAGATGGAAAAAGGGGTCATAATTTACAATAGGAGTCAGACATTAAATTGTAACATGTTTTATAACTTTAGATGGCTTCTATTTAAAAGCATTAATATTGTTCCCATAGAAGTCTGTAGAGATATTTACCAGAGGGAAATAACTGTTGGCTATTTTAAGATGTTTACAGTATGTTAAAATTAAATAATGTACTTTCTTCTGTGATACTAATTAGCTGATTGTAAAATCCCATTGTGGTAGTTATATGGTACATTATTTATATAGGCTCAGAAAGAAGGAAGGTCAAATAGTAAAAAAAAAAAGATAATAACCATACATTGTAATTCCCTGGAATAATCAGTTTCATAATGAGGTTCAATGAATGCTGCATAAAAGAAAATCAGAGTTTCTACAAACCTTGCAAAAAGTGAAATATTGCTCATTTTGAAAGTCCCTTTTGCTTTCCAATAAGATTTTGGAATGGCAGGAGAAAGAAGTAGAAATGATAGCCTACAATGTGGGCATCTCATTTCTGAAGGTCATCATTAATGGTGATAATGATCACTTGTTTTTTTATCCTGATTAAAAATGAACTGTGGGTATATCTTTGACTAAATATACCTGATGGCATTTCTACTTTACATGACATTTAGTGTGTGCTATGTCAGTGATCAAACCATTGATTTAAAGTGTTTACCTATATGTTAACTCAGAATACTGAAATATTCTTGAGAGAGTATGCACACTGTTGAGCCCTTTTCTAGTAAATGTGGTTAAAAATAAGAGTATGAGTTTTTCATTTCTGCTAGGAAGTAACAAAGTACAAAATGATGAACTGAGGGCTGATTCTCTGGTGAAAACACCATTTTGAATGGCATCTAATTGCATGTTCAATTAACAAGTTAAAATGCATTTTTAAAATTCAAAAAGACTTCATATTTTTAGTCTCATGGAAAGACAAAAAAAGTAAGTTTTCTCATACTAAAAAATGCCTGTAAAAGCCAACTGTCATTCTATTGCCTGGATCTCTCTTTCTTTCTCTCTCTCTTTCTCTCTCACATACACACACACACAGAGTTTACCTGCAGTTACTTACAATGCCATGCTTTTTTTAAAAGGGCATATGCAAATAAATTCTGAAGAAAGATAAAATTTGATAGCTGTTGTAATCTAGATTAAAAAACCAAGTTTTCTGAGAGAACAAAACAAAGAAAGACTGCTCTGGGGAAAGCCAAATGTATTCTATTTGGAATTATGGATAAGTTGTATATGACTGGAAATGGGGCTCTGGGATCAAAGCATATAGGGATAGGAACAATGTGGCAGGTTGTAGAAAATAAAACCAAATAAATACTAAAGAGGGGGAAAAACAATTTGGAGTACATGGAGAAGGTTTAACTGTGCAGTAAGAGGTAAAACTAAAAATGTAGATTAGGTTAGATTCTTTGGATGGCCTGAAGCCACATTTAAGTGAGCCAGATGTCATTAAGTGAACAATCTCAGACAGC